GAAGATACTGTTATGGTAAAGGAATGGCATAAACAGAATGACAGCAGGAGAACTCAGCAGGACATTTGCCTCTTTCAAGTATCATCAGCAATGATGCTCAGAAATGCTGCCCTGTGATGGACATCCCAACTTTTATCCCACTCAGAAAATAAAACGACAGAGGATAGGAATTCTTTCATTGCCTTCTTTCCTCAACATGATTTAATAGGATCAGTAATACAGATTTATTGTTCTGGGTTTAGGTAGAAGACCCAGAGATTTACAATCTTCTGCTTAGGAAGACCTTTTATGTCAAGAAATATCAAGCAATATTTGGTCATATGTAGTGTCAGATAGAGGTATAAAATGGTGTAGGAGAGATTCAAGGGACGAAAAAGAGCACCAGACATGGATAAGCAGAGGAGTCTTCAAAGAGAAGATAGCATTTTGAACTGCACTTTCCAGAGAAGGCTTTGGGAAAGGCAAGAAAGGGGCTGAGGGGCAGAGTTTTATGGAAGATGCAAGTCCTCAGGGCATGGCTGGCCCTAAGGCTTTTGGTTAATGTGAGGATGTTGCAAGATAAAAATGAAAAATGTGGCTGATGGTAATATTTGGTAGGTAAGTAAGCAGAGACATATACAGTGCTTATATAACAGAAGAGAAGATGCAATGCTTTTAAGATGTCAGATGTCCCCATACTGATCTGTAGATTAAAAGCAATTCCCATCATGATTCTAGTAGGCTTTTATGGTTTTGTTTTTTGGTAGAAATTGACAAGGTGGTTCTAAAGTGCATATGTAATTGCCAAGGGCCTAGGGTAATAACTCTGAAAAAGAAGAATAGTTGGAAGACTTACTTGACAATATTTCAAGACTTAATATAAAGCTTCAGTAATCAAGACAGTGTGACATTGGTATAGAAATAAAAATATAAAAACAGATCAATGAAATAGAATAAACAGTCAAGAACAGATTAAGACATATAGTCAGTTGATTTCAGTGAAAGTACCATGATAATTCAGTGGGAAAAAGTATAATCTTTTCAGCAAAGTGCTAGAACAATTAGATATCCCTATGGAAAAGTTAAAAACTGAGCCACAAACTTTATCTCATACCTTACACAATGTAAATTCAAAATTAATTGCATATGTAGATATAAGAGCTAATACTATAAAACCTATAAAAGAATACATAGATGAAAATCTTTAAACATCATACTAATAATTTATGAAACAGGACACAAACCTTCAAAGAAAAACTGATAAATTGAACTTTATTAAAATCAAAATTTTTGTTCTTTGAGATATACAGTTAAGAAATGAAAAGGAAACCTTATAGCCAAGCAAAAAGTATTTGCACATACATATTAGGACTTTATCTAGAATACAAAGAACACTTATAACCCAGCAAGAAGAAGAATGATGACCCAATTTCAAAAATACGGACAAAAGATTCAACAGCCACTTCAAAGCGGAAAATGCAAGACTGGCCAATAGCACCTGAAAGTATTTTCAACATTATTAGTAATGAGAGTCATGCAAGTTAACACTTTAATGCCATTTCACTGCATACCTTGTAGAATGGCTAATGATGAGAATACTGACAGTGGAAAGTGGTGGCAGGGAGGGGGAGAAATGGAGCCTTCCTTTATAGCTGGTGGGAATGCAGACTTTTTTGTCCGCTTAGGAAAACAGTGTGGCATTTTTTTTAGGTTAAACATAACCTTAACCTTTCAATTCCACAGTTCCACTCCAAGGTATTTTCCAACAGAATGGAAAAGTATGTCTACATAAGTCTTGCTTGTGAATGGCAGTGCTGTTCCTTCTTTTTTTAAAATTTTAAGGATGTGGGGTACAATTCAGGATTGGATATATAAATGGTCCTTGTACAGGTAACGTTATTCCTAACGGACAAAATTGGGAAGTAACTCAAGTGTCTGTCCTGTGCTTCACCTCGTGTCTTCTGAATGAGGATCTTGCAGGAGGTACGACTTGTGAAATCTATGATTTTCACAGCTGCTTCCTGTGATTCAGATGCAGCCCAGGAGTTTGGGAACCAGTGCCCTAGTCTGCCCCACTCAGTAAGGTAGGGATGCTGCTAACCTGTAGGGTACCTTTTCTAAAAGGATGCCATCTGCCTGGTGTGTGACTTGGCAGCTCGAATAAAAACTGAATTTCAGCTGCCTTGTGAGAGCTGTAGTTCGTTGTTATGTGTCCATTATATAAAAGAAAATATAACAATGAGTTAGCACAAAGCTTTGACACGCGATCTTATCATGAGGAGTGTGTGTTTAAGCTGAGTGAGTCTGGAATTGACTAAAGGACTTTATTAGTTTTTTTCCCTCTAAGGCAAGTCTTTAATATTACCACCACCATGCCCCGAAGACCTGAGCAGTGAAACCTAAAGTGTAAAGAGGCGCTGATGGAAGAAAGTGTGACATGGCTAAGCAGCTGTCAGTGGACCACACGCTCTTGCTACTTTCTGGAAGGAAAAAAGCAATGAGGGTTGGGTATATGGTTGTTGCTCATTTTCCTACTGTGAGGAGCGGAGAGTAAGGCAGAGAGAACTCGGGAGGTCTGACCTTCTAAGTTTCCAGGGGAGTGATCAGCAGGGGGAGCTGGTGATCCTGACCTGCTCTGTGGGAGTGCAGGGCCTTCCCCTCCAGCTGCTGGTCCAGTAGGGGAACGGGAGATGGATGCTGTTGGTCAGGATTTTTAATCTACTATAATAGTATCCATGGATTATTGTGTAATCTATCATGATGCATTAATTAATATTAATGAATCCACCACAATAACGAATAAAGCGCTCTCAAACTTGAGCAACATTTCTATTTTCTATGGGTAAAATAATCCAGTCTTACGCTTTGTGAGGTAGGGTAGAGTGAGGGTAGATCGGGGCAGATCATAACATGTGTCAAAAATGGTAATATGGGATGGACGTGTCAGAACTAGATCAAGGCCCAGTTTTGAACAAGCCAGAAAGCTAGACTAAGCAGAAATATATTTTATTGGAATGATGAAGTTGGTGGTGTTTCAAATAAAATTGTTCTCTAAGATTTATTTCTGAACACCTTTATTTTGATATATTCATATATCATATAGTTTACCACTTAAAGCGTGCGATTCAATGGCCTTTTCAATACTCAGAAGTTATGTAACCACCACAGTGAGTGTCCCTGTGAGAAAGGATTCCTGGCTTAGTATGAGTCTAAGAGTTAATTCGTTATTGCTTGGCAAGTATTACCTGGGCATTATTACTCGGCAGGTCTGATGAAGGTGATCCTGATCACATGACTCAGCCCATCTTTTAGGCACATCTTGCTTCACTCCCTGTCCTGAACCTTTTAAAAATTATTAATTCATTTTTATTTCTAGCTTTATTAAGACATAATTGGCAAATAAAAATTGCAATGTTTTGTACATTGACATTGTGAAAGGATTGCCTCAGTCAAGCTAATTGACATATCTGTCACCTCACATCATTCATTTCTTTGGTGGTGAGAGCAGTTCAGATCTACTTTCTGAGGGAATTACAAGTACGCAATACATCATTATTAGCTGTAATCACCCTGCTGTCCTCAGGTCTCCAGAGTGTAAACATCTCACAACTGAGAATGTCTACTGCTTGACTAGCGTCTCCCCATGTTCCCTGCCTACTGCCCCCTGGTAACCAGCCTTTTACCCTCTGCTCCTGTGTGTGTGACTTTGAGATTCCACATGTAGGTGAGGCCATGCAGTATTTGCCTTTCTGTGTCTGGCTTATTTCACTTAGCATGTTGTCCTCCAAATTCATCCATGGTGCTGCAAATGGTTGTTTTTCAAATCGAACAATATTTCTTCAGGTGTATGTCCATGTGCATATGTACAAAATCACATTTTCTTCATTCATTCCATCTATTGACAGACACAGGTTATTTCCATATCTTGGTTATTGTGAACGATGGGAAATGGAGATTCAAAGCAGTAATTTTATTTCCTGTGAATATATTCCCAATGTGGGATTGCTGGGCTATAGGGTAGTTCTATTTTTATTTCTTTAAAAACCTTTATACTGTTTTCCATAATGAAACATATCTCAATACAATAAAGGAGGCCATCTGTGACAACCCCCATATTGACAACTGTGGGGTTGTCAATGATGAAAAGGTGAAAATTTTGCCTTTAAGTTCAGGAACAAGACACTGATACCCATTCTTGTCACTTCTCAGCATAGTTCTAGAAATCCTACCTTGGCATTTGGGCAAGAAAAATAAATAAAAGGTATCCAGATTGAAAAGGAAGAAGTAAAATTGTCACTGTAGATGACATAATCTTATTATGTAGATCCTGAAGAATCCACCAAAAGTCTGTTATAACTATTGAATGAATTCAGCAACATACAAAAATGAACCACGTTTTATATACTAACAAGGAATTATCTGAAAAAAAATTAAGAAAACAATCTCATTTACAAACAGAATCAAAAAGAATAAAGCACTTAGAAATGAATTTAACTCAGAGAAAGCTGTATACTGAAAATTATAATATACTGATGAAAGAAATTGAAGAAGACACAAATAAATGGAAAGATAGCCCATGTTCATGGATTGGAAAAATCAACATTATAGAAATGTCCATATTGGTGATCCAAAATCTGAATGTGGGACTAACATGTCAAGGATGCAGGGAAAGAATAAAACACCAGGTCTTTAAAGGAGATCTGTATACTTTAAATCCTCTCTAGATTATTTAAAATACCAAACTCAATGTAAATGCTGTGTAAGTAGTCATTATATTTTTTGATTTGTATTTTTTATTGTTGTATTTTTAATTTTATTTTTTCTGATTAGTTTTCATCAGCAATTGGTTGAATCCATGAATGTGAAACTCACCAGTATAGAAGGCTGACTGTATATAAAAGACAAATGTTGGATCAATAAAGAGTATCTTAAAAATCACATATCTTGTCAACTTGTTTGTTGGAAATACTAATGCATTATTAGGTCAATTAACTGTGGGTAATTTTTTCCTCTTTCTAAAGAATACAAGTCAATGACCAGATTGTGGAAGTGGATGGAATCAGCTTGGTAGGTGTCACTCAGAATTTTGCAGCAACAGTTCTCAGAAACACCAAGGGCAATGTCAGGTAAATATGTGTCTTTGTTTATGTACCATTTGGTTGCTTTATATTTTGTTGAATTTTGAATTTCTATAATTTAACCTGTGGATGTATATGATTACAATGAAAAATTTATCAAATACCAAAAATTTGCCTTTAAATTTTAATTGTGTGTGTGTGTGTGTAAGCAGGATTTACTGAGAGAACAGAAAAGCTCCCACAGTGGGAGGGAACCCGAAGGGGTTGCCCAATTTTTAAAATTATACTTAGTTTATATGAGTGGAATTTAAAATTAGAAAACATAGTATTCTAGAAAGATATGAAGAAACGTGGGTGTACAGTGTGAATATGATTAATTACTGAACTATGTTAGTGTACCTTATTGCTAATACAGTAAGACTTGCTTAGAAGGTAGAATTTCTAGTTATAGTTATAAGTATTATGAACTAGGTCCCAAATACTTTTCATAAAATCCTTTACACAGTAAGTTGAAATAATGATAGACATATTCAATAATATATGTTATTTAAACAAAGAGGTTAAATGATTTGAGAATAAGTATATTTTAAAAATATACATATTGTTTTAAAGAATCAGCCAGGACCAAACTTTGATGAACTTTTCTGCCTTTTTAGAACTTAGAGTGTTTTTTTTAGACCTTGACATTTCTATCCAGCCCCAGAGTCGTGAATATTGTAGGCTGGAAAACAAACAAGAAAGCAGCCCTGAGCTAATTGAAGTCAAGGTTTGAAATCAGTTTATTTTATTTTATTTTATTTTTGGTCATAGGCTATGTTTTTTTTAAAAAGCATTGCTTATGTCTTATAGTTTTCCATAATTAATTAAGAAGACATTATTTAGTATAATTATGTATGTATTAGTGTTCTCATCATCACATGAAATTGAAATATTCTGAAAATACTGATAGTTAACATGGCTGCACTGAAGGAAACTGGGATTTTACTGCAGCATGTTTCATGTTACACAAGCATGAGCTTAAGTGTTAGACTTTTTCAGTTGGAAATCATTCTTTGATGCTAACAGGATGTTTTAAGGAATACAACCTAAACTACTTCTGTGGGCGCTATGTTGATACTTCTAGAATACCCACAGCCCTGAGAAAAGTGTAAACTAATTGGAAAGAGTATAGGGAAAACTGTGCGCTCTCTCAGAACTCTGTGGGTGGGTCCCTTAGTAGACGTAATTGGTGATTGTCTTTTTGTGGATTGTGATGTGTTCTTGAAATAACATTCCCCAAGTCAGTATAAAACTTGGTTTTGAAGCTGTCCATTCAGCTTTAAAGTAAACTGAAAAGTGAAATGAGTAAGATATGCATCCAACTAGTAAGAACATTTTTCATTTTGAAAAGAGTTTGTAGTTACATGAAATTGTAGGCATCCCTTTCTTTTGCTTCTGACTGTTGATCACATAATTTCGTGTTACCATTTCAAGCTTTGCACAAACTGCAGATGTCTTCTTAACAGGTCTATCATTTCACTTTCTCCTGTCTTTAATCTGTTCTGATATTCATCACCTCTCATGGAAGAACATAATTGCAATCTCCAAATATATGAAGGGCTGTTGTGGAAAAGGAATTGACCTATTGTGTTTACCTCTAGTTCATGTTGAATTCTTTCATCTGAAATGCTCGGAACCAGAAATGTTTGGAATTTGGATTTTGTCAGATACTGGAATATTTGCATTATATACTTACTAGTTGAGCATCCCTAATCTGAAAATTCAAAATCAGAAATGGTCTAATGAGCATTTCTTTTGAGCATTATGTCTTTGAGCATATGGCTTTCTAAATGGCCCATCAAATTGGACATGCTCCAAGTATTTGGAATTTGGAGCATTTTAATTTTAGAATATTGAATTGAAAATGCTCACACTATATACACATCTATATGCAGGTTTTTGTGTGGGCATAAGTTTTCAACTTCTCTGGGCAAATACCAGGCAAGGAGCATAACTGCTTATCATATGATAAGTGTATATGATTAATTTTGTAAGAAATGACCAACCTGTCTTCCAAAGTGACTGATCCATTTAATATTCCTATCAGCAATGAATTAGAGTTTCTGTTGCTCCACATCCTTATCAGCATTTGATATTGTCAGTATTTTAGACTTTGGCCATTCAGATATAGTGTCTAGTGGAATCTCATTGTTTTAATTTACATTTCCCTCTATTGTCTATTAATATTTACAATTGGTGATGAAAAATTTTATGCTAATCTAATTTGTAGACCTTTATGGTATTTTCTTTTCATTCTCTCTTTTGGGTTTTTTACCCTCATAATTGTTTTTGAAATTTTTTACCAGGCTGTAACTAAATCTGTGTTTTTTTTGTATAATTCTGCTTGGAGTTCAATATGAAATATTGGGTTTTAGACATTTTCCATTATGGTTTGACTGTTTGCTTTATTTCTTCATTGTCTTAGATCTCTCTTCTCTACTAGTATTCAATTTGTGATTAAATTTCCTGGGCGTATTCTCTAGAATTTTATTTTCTCTCAGGATCTCGATCTGTTTGAATTTTTTGTTTTTATTTTTGTTTTTTTGAGTTGGAGTCTCACTCTGTCACCCAGGCTGGAGGGCAGTGGCACACTCCCGCCCACTGCAGCCTCGACCTGCTGGGCTCCGGCGATCCTTCTGCCTCAGCCTTCCAAGTAACTGGAACTACAGGCGCGCACCACCATGCCCGGATAATTTTTTTGATTTATTGTAGAGATGAGGTCTTGCCAAGTTGCCCAGGTGGGTCTCGAACCCGTGAACTCAGGCAATCCACTCACCTCGGCCTCCCAAAGCGTGGGATTACAAACCGAGCCCAGCCTATATTTTTGCTAATATGTTCTGAGACTTTCTTCTGTTTTATGTTTCAGATTACCAACTTATTAGTCAGCCATGACCTGCATTAGATGTTCTGTGCCTTATTTTTTATTTTCCATTTCCATCTCTAGCTCCATTCTCTCTACCCAAAACTTGAGAATAATATATCCAGCTTCCTACTTGACATCTTCATATGGCTTTCTAAAAGGCCCATCAAGTTGGACTTGCTCCAAGTATTTATCCATATTTACACCATTCCGTGCCTTCTGCCATCCCTTCCTACTCCATTAAAAAAACAAAACTGTACCACATGATACTTACTTGGCTAATTCCTCTTTATCGAGTCTCAGTTCAAAAATCATTTCTTCTCTGAATGAGTTATTCTCATATTATGATATTTATGTGCCCAGACCCCAAGTCAGTCTCCATCACATCACTATGGTTTCTATTCAGCATTCATCTAATGACCCTTTCTTTCTGGTATTGACTTTCTCTTTTTGGTCCCCTACCATATTGAGTAGTCTGTATGATTATTTGAATATGAAAGAAGTACTGGTCTATGACTTCTGAGGTTAGGTTATAAAAGACATTGTGACTTTTATCTTGGTTTTGAATCCCATCTCTGGAGAAATTCAGCTGCATTTTCAAAGTCTTTCCAACACTGATGTGCATATTCCTATACAAGGATAACTAAAGCTTGCCAACAGCCAGCACCAGCTTGCTAGCCCTGTGGGGAGGCACACTGGAAGGAGACCCTCCAGCCTTGGTAGAGTGCTCAGATGCCTGCGGCTCCAACTAACATCTGGTTGATCTTTGTGAGAATCACTAAGCCACAACTGTCCAGACAAGCCTCCCCTGAATTCTCACAGAAACTGTGGAAGATAGTAAATGTTCATAAATTGGGGACCAGTTTATATCAGCAAATATATACAGATTTGGGTACCAGAATGTGGACTACAGTTATAACAGAGGCATGACAATGTAGGAGTGGCTTCAGAACTACAGTGTTGGTGAGGTAGAAGAACTTTGAGGAGAATGTAGTAAAAGCCAAGGAGCTCTTACAGAAACTATTAGCAGAAACCTGTGAGGGGCAGCTTCAGTAGGAAAATGTCAATGTTATGGAAACCTGGAAGAAGCAGGTCTTTGTAATGTAAAGGCAGAAAGTTTAGCAAAAATGTTACCTCTAGTAATGTGGAAAGTGGAAAAATATCTAATAAACTGACTGAGCCGTTTAAATCATGACATTTAAAGGTAGAGTGTTGAAGGTGCCACTGAGATTTTTTTTCCCTTTTTTCTCCTATATACAGTAAAACATAAATGAAGATAGGTAAACTAAAGGAAGGTCTAATAAAAATAAAACAAACCAAACAAACTGGAAAACTTAGAGGAAATGGATTTATTTCTGGATACACACAACCTGCCAACATTAAATCAGGAAGAAAGAAATATAAAAACTTAATAACTAATGAAATTGAACCAGCAATAAAAAAAATCTTCCAACAACAAAAAGTCCAGGACTGGATAGCTTCAGTGTGGAATTCTACCAAGAGAAAGGACTGAGTATGAGAAGTAGATACACAAAAAAATATAAAGAAGACTCCCTTCATACTCATAAAATGAAAAATGCAGTACCTATTATGAAGTACTCACTGGATGAGATTGACAACAGATTCAAATCTGCAGAAGAAAAGATTAGTGCCGGGCTCGGTGGCTCAGCCTGTAATCCCATGCTTTGGGAGGCCGAGGTGAGTGGATTGCCTGAACCCGCGGGTTTGAGACCCACCCGGGCAACTTGACATGACCTCATCTCTACAATAAATCAAAAATTAGCCGGGCGTGGTAGTGCACGCCTGTAGTTCCAGCTACATGGAAGGCTGAGGCGGAAGGATCGCCAAAGCACAGCAGGTCGAGGCTGCGGTGGCCGGGAGCAGCCACTGCACTCCAGTCTGGGCCACAGAGTGAGACTCCAACTCGGAAAAAAAGAAAAAAAAGAAAAAGAAAAGATTAGTTAACTTGAAGACATACTAAGAGAAACTGTATAAATGTACACACAGAATTAAAGACTAGAAAATGAACAGAGTGAAAGAGAGCTGTGACACAATTTATAAGCTTCTCAGAATTATATGCTCTCAGAATTTTAAAAAGATTGGAAATAGGGATGCCAGAAAAGTTACCTAAAGAGATAGTAGCTGAAAC